TCTCAGGGACTCCCAGAGGGAGTTAGGGATTTGGGACACCCCCAGATCCCATCCCTGGTGTGTCCCCCAGGATTCCTACATCCAGAGCCGTGCGGACACCATGCAGAACATCGAGTCCACCATCGTGGAGTTGGGCTCCATCTTCCAGCAGCTCGCACACATGGTCAAGGAGCAGGAGGAGACGATCCAGAGGTGTCCAAACCCTTCCCAAACCCACCCAAATTCCATCCCCTGGATCCTCCCCAGCCTGATCTCCTCTCCTTGCCCAGGATCGACGCCAGCGTGGACGACGCTCAGCTCAACGTGGAGGCAGCACACGGAGAGATCCTCAAGTACTTCCAGTCGGTCACGTCCAACCGGTGGCTGATGGTGAAGATCTTCCTTATCCTCATCGTATTCTTCATCGTCTTCGTCGTCTTCCTGGCCTGAAGCTCCTCCTGCTCCTCCTCCTCGTCCCAGTGGGACACACGGACTCGGCTGGAGCTCCACAGGGCCTGGAGATGGACATGGGGCAGGAAACAGCCCCCAGGGACCCCCTTGTCCCCCCCTTTTCCCGTGGCCTATGCCAAGGTTGGGCTCCGTGTCCGACAGGTCATGGTGGCTGTGGAACCCCAGGGTGGGTTGGGAAGTCTGGGAATGCTGCTGGATCCTCACTATGGACCATGGAATCTCCGATGGGCTGCACTTCCTGGTGGGACCTTCTGGGGGGGGCTGCAGGACCCATTAAAGTCTTGGGACCCCCAAGAGTGTCTGGACCCCATTGTTGGCACCATCAAACCCAGTGGGACCACCCTGGGGGGCTGCAGGACCTTCTGGAGGGCTGCAGGACCCATTACAGCCTTGGGACCCCCAAGAGGGTCTGGACCCCATTGTTGGCACCCCTAAATCCAATGGGACCACCCTGGGGGGCTGCAGGACCTTCTGGAGGGCTGCAGGACCCATTACAGCCTTGGGACCCCCAAGAGGGTCTGGACCCCATTGTTGGCACCCCTAAATCCAGTGGTACCACCCTGGGGGGCTGCAGGACCCATTACAGCCTTGGGACCCCCAAGAGGGACTGGACCCCATTGTTGGCACCCTTAAATCCAATGGGACCACCCTGGGGGG